TTGCGATATTCACGGTCTGCTTTAAATGGAAAGGAATAATACGTCTTGTTATATAAAGCACCAGAGAATAAGTTATCAAAGGATTTTCCAAAGCTGTGAAAAGCATTTATAGGGCAGCCATTTGATTTTTAACAGTTCCACTCTACGGAAGGTAGGCTAATAAAGTACTGTGAATCTACTAAAGATCATTTAATATATGCTATTTTAAATAATAACAAAATTAATCGCGAGAGAATCGCAAAGATACTTCGACGATTGTTTTACTTGTTAGTATACACATGCAGACTGACGTCTTTAGCCACTGTTACATTTTTGCCAGTTTTCAGTCTCATCAACCTGATCTCAAAAGAAATGTAGCCATTTTACAAGGTGGCGATTTCGTATGAATTTGTACGATGTGAATCATACAAAACGTAAGATTTTTTAGAAAAAGACCCGCCCCTAAACCGTCTCTGGGGTGTGAGCAGATCATACAAAAACGCAGGCTACGTACAGTAGGCCTATGAGATTGTGCAAATCAATATGAATTATCCAGCAATTTGCCAAAATGTTACGAATTGCCATGTCTCAATGTGTTAATGTGCTGTGACAACTTTTTAAAAAGTTTCAGTGCACCTGAAAATGATTACTATCCGAGTTGGTACTACATGTGAATTTGAACAAACTTCGCGACCGTTAAAAAAAGCATGTTCTATATATGAATATGGGTAGTATGAATGAAATTCAGATATACTATTTTCGCCATTTTGTTACCGTTACATGACCTACCAGTGTCAATTGCGCTGCTTCACTGCCATTTATCTTCTCTCGTAGCTTCATTCGTGTCCATTGAATGCGAGCTTCAAAATCTCACTGGAAGTTAGGGATGGGCGTATCGATCCAAAGTATCGATATATCGATACTGACGCGAGTATCGAAAGTATCGATACTCAAACAAAAATATCGATACTTAGGTGTGTTTTATTTACCAGTGATTTTGTTAATTCAACAACAACAACAACAAAAAATAATGCGTACAATATGCATTGAATTGGACGAATAACCTTTGTTAGCGAGTAATTGTGTAGGATAGAACTAGTTTCCTGCTCATCTGAATACACGCAAATGTTGCAAGACAGAACTAATCAATCACAGAGAGCGTTCACTCACTTCTGACAGTACATTCAAACAGGGCTGCTTTTCCCAAAAGTATCATAAGAAAGCATTAAAGCTTTTGGGAACAGCAGTCCTGAACAATGCTTATCAGAGGAGGTATCGTATCGAAAGCAAAATAAGTGGTATCGCCCATCCCTACTGGAAGTAGCAGATCATCCGGGTACTTTCCACCTACAGTTCTTCAAATACTATGAATTTGGGCATACTACTCTAGGTGCGTCCCAAATCGCGTACTTATGCACTATTCTATGACGTTTTGTAGTATAAATAGTGCGAGTAGTGCGTTCACACTGAAAATTCCAAAAAGAAAAAGTGCACTTTAAATACCCGGATGATGCACTTAAATAACCGAAAAAATGAAGTGTGGAATGTTGGACACTTCATGCACTCAATTGTCGCAGCTTTAATTACGTACCGAAGGGGGAGGGACTATGAGACTCCAATTATGAATGACAAAATAACCTTATATAATTCATACTATACATGGTTGAGTACATAGTGCATAAGTACATAGTGTATGAGTGCATAGTGCATCATATGGGATGCAGCTTCTGTGTACCGTTGTCACTTACTATATAGTACTGTATATAGTAGGGAAGCATTAGATATGCGTAGCTGATTTAAAGAAGCACTCCAAAATCTACCAACAGCATTGTCAATCGATAATGCACAATTAGTAAAATAATTTGCAATAAATATTGTATACAAAAGTTAAATGTTATATGCATCTGCTATTCAAAGGCCAATATAAGTTAATTAGTTATTGCTTTAAAACAGCAAATGTTTAAATTGACAAATAAAATACTACTACTATTAAGAAGAATTATGATGATGATGATGATGATGATGATGATGATGAAGAAGAGATGGCCATTTTTTCCCCTTCAGCTTCCTGTCCATTTTTGTCGTCCACGCAAAAGGAGTTAAAAATTGCAATGTCCCGTTACTCTTAATTCATCTTATTAGAAAAAGATAAATTAGATAAATGTGTAAAGGAATGATGGATGTCTTTGTTCTTGTCTGTCCTGCTCCAAGAACAATGACTGCAAATTGAGTGAAGAGCTGCAACAAAACCCAACAGCGAGGCACAGAAGAGGCTTCCTGATTTAAGGTAGCAGGTGAAATACGATTACAGCTGATGAGAGCCAAGGGGCGGCAGGAAACCGAATGATGAAGCGCAAATACCACAGTCTCTCTCATCAGGACCGCTGGCCGGGGGAGGGGAGACAGACGAATGAGACGCACCCTCCCTCACTGCAGCACCGCAGACAGTGATGGAGCGCCACAACATCACAACTACAGATGGAGAGATAGATGGGCACGTGGGGCAGCATGAGAAAGATAAATGGAACAGAGAGCGAAGGATCACGTTGATTTACGGGCTGGCACGAGATGGTTTTACAAGGCCAGTCTGGCTAGTTAAATGACTCTCACTGTAAAACAAACTCTAAATCAAACACAATAGCTTAGGTTGGTTCTTAGAAGACAATTAAGTAAATAAAATGATGTTAAAATGATTACAACTCTAAAAGCTGATATTAATAATTGCTACAAGTGAATTTAGGCATCTCAACATAATATAGTACAAAAAAAATGAATTTTTAAATTTGCTAAATGTTACATTTAACATCGTTAATTCATTTATAGTTATTAGACACATTGAGTTAATACATTACATTTCATATAAGAAAACATTAAATTTTTTTAATTACCTGAGGGCTAGATGATAAATAAACAATTAAATAACCATCCATCCATCCATCCATCCATCTATTGGTTAACTAATATATCATGCATCCCTACTTGAGAGCAGGGTTGCCAGGTTTTCACAACAAAACCCACCAAATCGTTACTCAAAACTAGCCCAATCACATTTCAAGAGGGGTTAAAATACACATTATTGGGGTTGCTTCAACCCGCGGCAACAGTGTTAAAGTAGCCAAATTCCACGGGAAAACCGCGGACTTGGCAACACTGCTTGAGAGTATCCTTCATCTAATTTTTGAGCATTACATTAAATTACACTTGACATGTTTCTGTGGACTTTAGCAATAATAAATGTCTGCACCATGATGAGTCAGACCATTAAACCTCTACATGACCTCAAGAACAACCATCTCATGTGCTTTAATAGTATCACTAAGTAGATTTACAGAAATTTCCTAATACATCAACACTTTCTTGCTCATTGAATGGCAGTCTCGAGTGGACCTAATGAAATGTCCAGTTGCTTTCTAACGGCTTTATTAAACTCTTTCTAGAGATTCTAGCATCCGCGCCAATACAAAGTGAGATGTCACATGTGAATGGAAATCATCGGATAGCCAGCACAACCTTATCCCAAGGAAACCCAACAACAACTTCATGAGCGCTGTTCTTCTAGGCACATAAAAGGCCTCAGTCCCTCATGTATCAGAAAACCCCAACAGCACAGAGCTATTGTTCTCCCTGACATACAACTGATATTTATACATGGACTGTCGGTGCGGAACAAAGGCTCAGGTTTCTCGAGGTTGCATGTGGATCCTTTGTTCTCTTTGGAAAGCGAGAGAAAGAGAGATGGTACAGCAAAACCCAATCAACAGATAGACAAAATGGGACAACAATGACAGCTACTGAGGTATCTTTCACAAATACAAAACATGACATTACTGGGAGTTGACGGATGGCAAGTCCTAGGAAAGGTCATAATGCAGGAGACAAAAATGGAAAAACCAATGAGATGCACTTTAAACCAGATATCTGAGCTTCTTTACTGTTTTAAGAGCAACTCCCAAAAGAAAAAATGCTTAATTCTCCAGGAACAAGGACAAACACAAGTGTATCCCTAGCTAAACCCACCAAGACTTGGATTTAAGTTATCTGGATAAAGATGAGAACATTCCTCCAGGGCTGGATAAAATCACCTTGTAAACAAGCAGAAAAATGAACATCCAGTCTTTAATCTGACAAGGAACTAGTTCTTTTCAGCTTAGCATTACCTTCAAGCACTGTTTCCTACCTTTGTGCTTGCCAAGAGCAGGGTAGCTTGGCAACAGGAACAAAGACAAAGTCAATGGAGTCCGAAGGGGAAAGATGCCATGGCCCCCCTTCAAACACATCTAACCAACCTCGTCAAAGAAAAAAACACATTTAGGAGGCAGTCGCTTCGCTCAAAGCAGGACAAATGGACTCATGTTGGTGTCTGTCGCTGGGAAACCTTGAGCTAGACCAGACAGGAGGAAGAGAAAGTAGCAACAGGTGCTTCAATCAAGCATGGCTTCTGAACAGCTGGCTTCAGTCTGACAATTAAGACTTAATCTTACTGTAAAAAATAATTGTGATTTTAACGGTAAAAAGACTGTTCAATGGTGTTTAGTATTTGTGTGAATGTCACAGCAAACTTTCTATATAAGTATTTTTGTTCTCAGCTTGAGGAAAAGCTGCTTGTGATGAGTTTTGGTTCATCATGTGACTTTCTTACCTCCTGCTTTTGGTGGTTATCAGAGTATTACAAAGGTACTAAACCATAAAAAGATCTATCTATCATCAACAAGTTGTACTATGTGAAATATATGTGATTTAAATATAAATTATTTGTATCTTTCTATTGTATCTCTCACTCTCTATAACCTGAGCAAAAAATAAATAAACACAGGCTGATGTACAATATTTATTAATATTTTTTTAATGTACATTTTTCATGTGTCCAACACAGAGAATGCTGATAAATGAAGCTAGTTATAAAAAGCTTTAAATCAAAAGCACACACACACACACACACAAACAAAAATCCATAATTAATACTTTTACCATTTATTTTTTTTACATTACAGATATTTACAGTATTTGTGGTATTTTGCCCATTTTTTACATAAAATTTGACAAGAAATTATGGTACCTCTTACTAACCACGGATCTTAATGATGGTAGACGCCATGTTTCATTTTTCGTGAATGAAAACGAGACTGTGAGGAATAAAAGCACAGTGTAATTTTCACAAAAAAAATCTTGACACCAGGATTAAAAAAAAAAAAAAAAATGTATTTTAAATGTTGTGTCAGCAGAACAATCAATTCAACTTTTGAAAAATTTTAATTAAATATAGTGTCTACATAATGTCCATTGGGTGAAGCAGATGTATGTTTGATTTGCATTAACGGGATGATTTGGATTTATCTTTAGAGCATTTCTTATGCCAGCCAATACGAGTCAAATGAGCGAGAATACTTCCGACCAGCTTTAATTGTGCTAGTAATAATTCATCTTGAATTATATGTTTCCCTGAAGGAAGAATTGGCGATAAAAAGGAACTGAAAAACACTGCAGGATTTGGGGAATATCTAAGGCTAGCTAAAGAACGTGAGCATGAAATTTCTCAACATTACTCAATTATCCGACAAAACAATGCGTTTGGGGAGTTTGAAGTGTCTGTGGAAATCAGAGCTGACACACCGCCCTCTATTGGTTAAGGCATTTCAATTCTCCGTTTAGCACCATAACAGAACAGCATGCAGAATGTCAGCATCAGCAGCTGTGGGAATATGCTGATGGATAATAAAAATCTCTCGGACGTATGAATTAGATCCCAAGAGGTCAGAGGGAACTGATCAATAAATGAATCATGAGGCATTCATCACTCTAATGTATTAGAGAGGCGTGTTAGGTAGAAGTTTAATGGCAAGAAAATAAAAACAGAGCAGAAAGCTTAAATTAACACTTTTTATCTGCACAATTTCCCCTTTCTTAAAATATTTCCTTATGTTCAGCAGAACGGTTCGCCTGGCCAGCAGGCAAGGGCTTTTGTTTGGCTAAAATCTAGTGATTAGAGGGTACAAACCAGGCGTTTTATACACAAACACAATGTATATTCATACTTTTACCACATTGGCCTGTCAAATCAACATTTCTGGCTTGAGCGTAGAACTGCCATACTTTGTGGCTAATACAACTTGAATTTGTTAGCCTACATAAAGCCGAATCCCTCATCTCGCTCAATTTGAACCTTAAAAAGACAAAAATACTGCAGTTAAAACACCCGCTCTTTTGGTAGCTTAACGTGAAAGCTAGCTATGTGTTTGGTTGAACAAATTTACATAACATTCACATGGTACAGTAAAAGATTATCAAATAAAACCTCACACGTACAAAGGAGGCCGTTTACCAGTTAAGTGGAGCTGATCGATTGTCTCGTTTTAAAGCCAGCCATTTTTTCCCACTCGACGTGTGCTTATAAAGTGCTAAGGATTAAAATTGCATTGAGGGTTTAGAAGAAAAAAAGAAAACGTCTGTGGGGTTTGTGAAGCCTTTAGAGTCACAACAAAGTGAATCATGAATTTTCATTTTCTCTTTCAGTCATTTAGGGTTTGAAAAGTAATTAACAGAATTAATTAAAAAACAATTCTTACACTCTTTTGCACTTCCATGTCTGTCGTGCTCACTAAAATGTTTTCAAAAGCATCCCTTCTATTCATAAACAGTATTTTGCGACCTTTTCAAAAGAAATGAAACCTTGGGACTGTATATAAACCAAGTCTGGTCCAAAAGACTATATTGGTGAGGCACATTGTAACATGACAGGGATGAAAGAAAAAGGATGGAAACATATAGAAACTTAATCACTGCATTGCCAACTGCACTTTGAGTTCACTCACTTTGATTATTAGTATGTTCATTAGTCAAATGTCCTTCAGAAAGCGACTTTTGCGGTCGTTGGAAAGCCAGCTGTCTCTCAGCGTGATGCCTCTTGCTGTTATAAATCTCTTTTTGATCTTCACAGGAAGTCTGTGTGTGAAAAAGTGCCCGCAGTGGGTTTATCTGACATGTACTGTTCCCCAAACTCCTGCTCCAGGCCCCTGCTTGCGTTCATAGGTGTATGTGAGGGATGGAAGGCAACGTGCAGTATGCTGGCCGCTGAAATTCAGGTCACAGGAAACAATCAGTTTAAACTTCCTGTCCAGGCCTGACGCCCTTCGAGACTACAGGTATGTGCTTCTAACTCCGGTTTACAAGTCCACAACCAGAGACCAGCAGCCCTGCTTGGAGGCATTGTGGGATAGTGGATGATGAAGAGGGGGCCGAATCAGCAGAAAAAGATCTCTCCGTCCGGGGTAGAGTCTGGAACCACAGCGCTCTGAGAATCTGCAAAGAGAGAAAAACTCGTTTTACTTCTGAACTTTTTTAAGTAATTGCAATACCAACATGAAATAGCATTTACAACACATTGAACTTACATGATGTGTCATATTTCTAAGTGCAAACAATATTCAGTGGTATAATTACAGTGTGGGGTGAGAGTTTATTTCATCTGTCAGGATTTGAACGGATTGTAAAAGCTGATATGAATGGGAAAATGTATAGTCAGCCAGTCATTATCACGAAACGACTGACTGTACATGATTATGCTTAATTCATGACTATGTTTCAAATAAGTAACTGGAGTAATTGACTAATGGCATGTCAGCACTGAAGACTATTTTCATTGCTAATCTTCAAACAAACAAACAAAATATATGTACAATTAAATCTCTAAATAAAAAAAATATTGAAAAGATAAACCAAACAAACAATCCAAAAATAAAAACTTAATCTACATAAATTACATCAAATAATTTCCATACAAAAAATAAATAAAAATAAAGGATATATAAAATAAATGATATTCATACAAAAACTCTGGAACCACAGCGCTCTGAGAATCTGCAAAGAGAGAAAAACTAGTTTTACTTATGAACTTTTTTAAGTAATTGCAATACCAACATGAAATAGCATTTACAACACATTGAACTTACATGATGTGTCATATTTCTAAGTGAAAACAATATTCAGTGGTATAATTACAGTGTGGGGTGAGAGTTTATTTCATCTGTCAGGATTTGAACGGATTGTAAAAGCTGATATGAATGGGAAAATGTATAGTCAGCCAGTCATTATCACGAAACGACTGACTGTACATGATTATGCTTAATTCATGACTATGTTTCAAATAAGTAACTGGAGTAATTGACTAACGGCATGTCAGCACTGAAGACTATTTTCATTGCTAATCTTCAAACAAACAAACAAAATATATGTACAATTAAATCTCTAAATAAAAAAAATATTGAAAAGATAAACCAAACAAACAATCCAAAAATAAAAACTTAATCTACATAAATTACATCAAATAATTTCCATACAAAAAATAAATAAAAATAAAGGATATATAAAATAAATGATATTCATACAAAAACATTAAACCCCATGTAAAATGAAATAAAAATCAAACAAATAGTCTCCATATAAAAAAAATTAAACAAATAATCTTCATACAAAAAAAACTAAACTAAAATCTATAAAAATGAAAGAAAAAAAAGGTAAAACAAACAAACAAATCAAATAATCTTCATACAAAATATAAAAAATTGATATAAATCTATATAATATCAAATAATTAAATAACCTTTATACAAGAAAACTAAAAACTATGTAAAGTTAAATAAGAAAATGTTAAAAGGAGAAATTAAATAATCTCCATCCAAAAAAAAAACCCAATTAAAAATATAAATATAAAAAGAAAGAAAAATAATACAATAAATCAAATCTATTAAAACAAAGTATTCCAAATGATAAACCAAACAAATAATCTTCATACAAAAACTAAATAAATACACAAATATGAATTTAATTAACCAATTAATTCGGGTTTATTGGTAATTATATGAAAATACTGGACCACAATTATGTAGTTGACCAATAAGAATCAAGTACTACAGAGAACTGAGTAATAATTCTATTATTTCTCGCCACCCATGTAGCATTAAATCATCAGAAAAGCTGTTTCAGAACCGGTCACTGAAATCAAGCATTTAATAGAATAACATGCACAGATGACTTGTGCTCAATAAGACCGGGGGATTCATTGAGAAAGGAAAAGGTGTCTGTTTGAATTTCATGTTGAATACTCAAGCAGATGTAATGTGATGATGAGCTACACTCTACCCGCAGTCTTGCTCTGCTGCCCTTTTCCCTTCTTCTTCTTCTTGTCCTTCTTCTCCTTGGGTTTGGCCAGCTGTAGCAGGCGGCTGGGGATCTGGCTCTGCGCCTCGCTGTTCTGGCCTTTCTGGCGTGAATTGGAGGAGAATAGACTGAGGTTCTTCCCTTTGCGTTTGGAGTCCATGCGGGACAGGAAGTCTCTGGCAGACGGAGACGAGGAGAGCTCCACCTCTGAGGGGTCACGGTCCAATGAACCAGTGCTCTGGAACTTTGAGGAGTCCTCAGACGTTGTGGAAGGGGTCCGGTTCTTCCTTAATTCCTGCAGATGATGGTGCAGAAATTCAAATAAAACTGGTTAAAAAATTGTTTAGACATGACACCAAAACGCAAAATGAAAAACACAACCTCTTTTTTTGCCAAATAAGTTGTTACTGCGAGTGCTATTAGGTTTCGAATCATTCTGAGGGTTCAGGAAAAAGTAACTATATTAAGGATGAAGATCAAGATGAATATAATTACATAATGGAATGTGCAGGCCTTTTGTTTTCACATTATTATAGAACAGTTATGTAATTTTGGGGCGGAATGGAAAAGATTAGTGGTTTTCTCAACTAATCAACATTACATAGTGCGCGAGTACTGTACCATCACAGAATAATGACATGCAAACGAATCTTCACCATATTTTCCATTGAGATTATATAGAAAACTGAAACGCTGATGAAACATTGGGCAAAAGATTCGTTTTCAGCCCTCGCTCTCGCGTCATTCCAGATCCTTGTGACAAATTAAGATGGCATGAGTCACTCTTTTCCATATAATGAATGAAGACCAAAGCTTTAAAGCTTCAAAGTCTTCTGACTCGAAGGAATGATTCAGTTATGCATCAAATATCACTTTCTTTCATGAACACGCTAAAGCAACATTAGGGCGGATTTCCAGTGAATAATGATTCAAATTTAAATTTGTTCCTCACAAAAAGCTATTCAGAAGACTTGGAATAGATAGTACCATTCAAAAGACTTTTATTCAGAAAGGATGCATTAAATTGATCAAAAGTGACAATAACCTCTGTTTGTCTGATCAGCTCCGTCTCTCTCTGCACTTGCTCTCGTTCTCTCTCCAGTCTCTTCTGGCTGTCTCTGAGCCGTGCCAGGTCTCTCTGATACTCTTCTTTTTTACTCTGCAGGTCTTGCTTCTCCTCTTCCAGCTCTTTCCATCTCCTCTGCACCTCTTCCTCTTGGGTCTGCAGCTGCGACTCCCTCTGGGCCAGTTCCCGCTCCCGCGCTTCCCACTCTTTTTCCCTGCGCCTCCTCTCCTCGGCGTGGGCAGCCTGCTGCTTTTGGAGGCTGGCGACTTGTTGCCGCTGCTTCTCCAGGCTCCGCTGTTTCTCCTGCTCGATTAGTGAGCTGGGCCGTGATGAGGAGGAGGAAGAGGAGGAGTTGAGGGACGAGACGGACGGGTGGCGTGAAGAGGGCTGGGGGCGTTCGTTGAGGGCATGCCGCTTGTCCTCGATGAAGGTGTCTTGCTGGATAACAACAGCCTATGTTGAGGGTGAGCAAAGAAAGCGGTTTTAATCGACATGCAAACAGGAAAGACGTAAAGCTGTTAAACTGCAAAGGCCTTGAAGTGAGAATATTAATGTGCGAAACCAAATTTCAAGTGAAACAGGCCCATCTGGTGGCCATAGAGCACCTGTCTTGGGAAAGTGGTACAAATCTATCAGAGTGCATCTTAATACACCACAGTGCACTCCGCTTGATTACAAGCCTGCAAAATAAACCCCTGCATTTGGAAATTTCATTTCCTTCTGTCGTGCTGCAGATGAGAGCTGCTGGCCTGAACATCAGAGAGCGAGAAATAACAAGACAAAAAGAGAATGACTCACCTGTAATGTGTTCAGCAGGTCATGGAGCTGAGCGACGCTCTGAAGAACCTGCTGTGGGAGGATAAAAAGATTGGGGGGAAAAAATGAGATGCAGATAGCTAGTCTAATTTCTTGTCACTTTATATTTTAACCTTTTAGAATTTAATCTACATATATAAAATATTTATAATAGTATATGAACACATTTGTTTTATATGCATATGTATTTACATAATATATACATACATAATTATAAAAAAAATATATATATACTTTATTTTTATTAATACAATATAAAATACATATAATACTAATATATTTATATCATTTAAAATATGAAACAATTTATATTTAAATATATAATACTTTATAAATTATTATTTATAATAATTACATAGAAAATATAACATACAGAACCATTTTAATACACATTGAAAATCCTAAAATAAATTAATAAAGATTTTTATTGATTTTACAATGTTTTAAATAAATGCAGTTGTGTGTGTGTGTTACTGATATAGATAGATTCAGAAAATAATACAATCCTGACTCAAACTCATGTTGCACGTCTTAACCACTAAACCACAGCTTGGGAAGGAAATCTAATTATAAAGTGTAAATATGGCTAGGGTGTCTGGTCATGGTACTGAAACCAATTCTCCTTTGACCTGATCCTGAAATCTGTTCTGAGCTGTGTCCAAACAGAAAAACTTACCTCGTTGTTCCTCTTGAGTAGGAGCAGGGGGTTGGCGTTGCTTGCCTGTGGGAGAGAGAGGTAGTCACATGGTCAGTGCACTGGGTAAGAGGCTACCGTACATAAATCAATAATAAGCAATCCATGTGCTCTTGGACAGGGTACCACAGGACCTGCCGGGAATAAGACGCTGTGATGACAGGTCTCATTACTCTGCTGCTGTAAAGCAGAGGACAGTCTTAATGTGTCCTCATTATCAAGTTACTATACAGTTATGTTCTGTGATGAGAGTGTGTGTAAACCTCCAGTTCACTTCAGGTAATGAGTGCTACAGCAGACATATATTCTGATGCTCAGCACTTAATGGTTTGAGCATATGGTGATACACTGATGACTAACGAATTAGATGGTAATGGGAACACATCTTAGAACAGCACTTGTAATAAGAGTGAACAAAAGCTTTTTAATAGTGTACTTATAAAATATGCATATACAACAAATGCATTTATTATATCAAATATTAAACAGATTCCAAAAATGTATTTTTATTAATTTGAATGGGAACACATCTTAGAACAGCACTTGTAATAAGAGTGAACAAAAGCTTTTTAATTGTGTACTTATAAAATATGCATATACAACAAATGCATTTATTATATCAAATATTAAACAGATTCCAAAAATGTATTTTTATTCATTTGACCAGTTATGCCATCTGCACTGTTAATTTGCTGATTTGTTTAGTGGTCTAGAAATAATGTAGAATCTTAAATATTTCCTAATCATTTGACATTACAATGTTTTTTTGTTTTTTTTTAATGTCCAGATTAAAATTAGACTTCTGCACTAATTTTAACTAACTTTATCTTTATATAGCATATCAAATGCATTTTTTTACATATGCACAAAATAAAAAAAATAAAAATAATTGAAAATTTAAAAATATTATGAATTTAACAATATGATTTATATTTAAAAAAACGATTACTTTTTTTTGCTTAAATATTTCTTAATGTTTTTATGTCAAAGTGTCCAGACTGAAATAAGACATTTGGACTAACTTTATGTATCTATATTGCTTTTTTTTTCTGTATACACAAAAAACAATATTATATATATATAAAATATATATCCTTTGTTCAGCTCATGGTGAAACCATGTTATTTTCACTTCAAATGCTTCCTTTTTTCTTGTCTTTTTCATGCAGCAATGTTACTCTGCCAAAAAAATTATTTTTTCCCATCATGATCTTTCTGATAAACACATCATTTTTGACCCGTTTGTACCTTCTTTAGAACGCTGTCTGACTCAGTCCTGCGGAGCTCTGCAGAGTCTTCCGTCTCCTCTCTGTCTCCATCTGCAGGAGATCAAACACAATCAGACTCACCTGGAACAAACACCCACGCACACGAGTGGCATCGCAAAAACGCTCTCACGCACACTCCCACGTGGAAAGCACACCCACCTTTACTCTTTGAGATGCTCATCTGGTGACTATCAAAGCCTCCAAAGGTTTCCGCCCGTCGTGGCAAAGTCACGGGCCCAGCCGCACATACTCCATCCTGCACCGCTCCTCCTAGACTGTCGTTTACCAGAACCTGTAATGTCTCAACTACACACAATCACACAGAAATTAAACATGGAATATGGTAACTAATTCAAGTAAACACTAAATGGTAGATCAAATTTCAAAAACCATGTCTGGGCCATATTTCACTCCAAAATCAAGAAACCGAAACGATCATATTTTGAATAAAATAAATAAAATAAAAAATAAAAAACACTTTTGATTTAAAAATAGCTTTTATTTTGAGTTTTTGTGAGATTTCGCCCAATAAGAAACAACTGATGTTTATAGAAAAATCAAACACTATCCAACAGCTCACAAAAGGCTAAGAGGAGACAGTAATCAATACTCTTTCCCGTTCTTGACCTGCAATCTTAAAGCAATCCATTATCCGTTCCTGCCTTGCGGATTCAGATCAGCTTTACCTATCGATTCTGCCCATGTACTATACTGCATGAACTGTGACAAGCACTACCTATCACTCCCACATTCAAAGCCAAAGTGTCTTCTCAGCACTTTCAAGATCTTTCTCACTAAGTACTCTCTCAAAAGCCGTTAGGGAATATAATTTACTCAATTTTCATTGGTGTTTTGTCACTTTCAATGGAAGTAAGTTTTAGAGTTATTTTAGAGTAGTTTTAAAGAAGAAATGTGAAGTTTGTATTTTTTGTTAAATCACGTGCATGAATTTTTCCTTATAATAATAATAATAATAATAATTAATTACATTTAGCGAACTGTTTTGAACGAGCGCACCTTTTTTTAACAACCAAAAAGTTTTGTTGTCTGTTGTGGAAGAACAGACGTTCCTCTCGTTGATAGCAGAGGGGCGGATCCAGCGAGAGATTGATAGGGCGACGCGGAATTAAAACGTTTTTTTTAGGAGTCGCAGCAGTAGAGGCGGCGCAACTATAACGACATGTGAATAATCCCGCCCACACTAAAGCGGTACTATATCTTATAGGTGAACTTATAGGTGAAGCATGTAATTTCTGTCACTAACAGCAATTTTGTTTTCAAACAGGTTTCCACAAACACTTCCCCATCTGCTACTGGTCAGTAAACACATAGCTCCGTGCAAAACAAACAGCAATGTTTTGATAGCACCACAGAGCAATAGCCCTTTACAATATTTACGGGCATAAACCTAGAATAGCTTACTTACATGTGTCTCTGCACATTGATTTAAAATTAAATAAAGATAAAATAACAAAAATAAATTATTTGCTACAATTATATAGTGACTTTTCCCATACTCGGTCTTAGCCACTACCAGTATGCAGCATCCATCTGTATTTTAAAGGCACGATATGTAAGATTTTCGTAATAAAATATCCAAAAACCACTTGCACATTGTTATATATTTCATGCCGTTGTGCATTTACATTATCCCATAAGTTCCCAAGGATTTGTAAATCCAGAGAAATTCCAATTTTAAATAATGGCTCGTCCTGGTTCATTGTCGCCTATCAATTACGTAATATCCACGCTATCGGTTTCCGCTTGTAGAAACTACAGCAACACATGTGGACAAAAATGCTGCTGCAGTTAAACTAAATCCATTAAGGCGGTCGCGAATAAAATTAAATGAAAAGTGTTGACTGCAGCATTAAATTTAGATCTGCTCAATGTTGCACCATCAATCTTTTTCTGCGTTTTTACAGTGTTGCGCGTTATAACCAATCGCACATGAGTCTGTTGAGTTTATGAACATCAGAGGCGTTTAGATGAGTCATCGCTGAAACACGGGAGTTTTGTTTAGTGTGCGCGCTCGCTAACTGAATTCTGCTCTCTTGTAAATTTTCTCATCATAAACAATAAAGTGCAGATGTACGTATGATGTAAGTAGGAGATTCATTCATCAAACAGTGTATAGACAGCTTTACTGATTATAAGAGGAGTTTTTTGAGAGTGCTTAAACTCGCGCTAGACTGAAGTCAGGCATACTGTTCTTTGACAATGTAACGTTAAATGTTCTTTGCTCGCTTTCTCTATATAATTTATTCGCTTTTTGAAAGACTTTCCATATCTACACATTGAAGTCATTTTAAGCCAGAAAAAGGAAAGATGGAATTCTGCACCTCTCAACTCCTTGACTTTGATTTCTTGAAGTCTTCTGTCCTCTTCGTTTTCACTAGGCACACCTTCATCATCATCTCCCTCCCTGGAGAAAATCGAGAATCTGTAAAAAAGACTACCCGCTCTCACAAATTGTGATGTTTAAAGTAAGTTTTTTCAATTATGTTAAGCTGACGATTCTTTTTACTTATTATTTATATTATTTTATCAAGATAAATTGAAAATAAAAACACTGAAAAACATTGGAATGTATATTATTAAAATATACTGTATATTCGTTTTAAAATTGGCTAAAGATTACAATTTACAGTGTTATTTTTAATTTCAAAAAATTTAATTTAAGTGAGTGTAAGATGACGGAAAAGGTAATCTAAATGTAAAAATAGGAAAAATGAGATGTATAATTAAATATTCAATATTGGCTGATAAAAAAAAAAAGAGAGAGTTATCGGTTCTTGACCGATATATTGTGCATCCCCCTCCTTCTTGCATATAAAATGATAACCAGATTCAGAGACTCACACTGACTGCATGGCCTCCTGAATGAGCTGCATCCATGTGTTCCTCTCCTCCTTAGAGCTGGTGTACACTTCTACCATCTCAGGTTTCTCAATGCCGGCCGTGATCAGGAACAGTCCTTTCTCCTCATTGGCTACTTCCCTCAAAATGAGTTTCTGCAGAGAGATGACGGTGGAGCGCTGGTCCTGAGAGTGGAGAACAAGAAGATGAGATGGGACTAGGAAATGATGGGGCGAGGTCACACGATTAGAAAGTGCCAAAGACCTTCATATGCCAATGTTCCTGTTAAAACCAGCACTGATAGAGCGCCAGAGACATTACACAATACTAGATTCCAGAATCCAAACAAGATAGTGTAAACATGTATTATTGAGGAACACTGTTCTGGGAATCACAGGCAGAGTTGTAATGATAAACATACCAAGGATGCGAATATATACTTCTGATCTTTCTCCTGTAGGAACACAATCACATCCCTCAGCAGTAGAGCCTGGACATCTGGAGAAGAACACATCAGACAGATTAAAAAACAGGCCCTGTTTGTGTTAGTGTGGGTGTATGTTGCTATGGTGACAGACCTGACTTCGTTCTGTCAGAGAAATATTAACGCTGTTTATCCATGTACTGTATTTTGAAATGTGAAACTAGATTATTACATTTTCTGAATTAAATAGGAGAGGCAAACCTCGCACCACAATTTTAAGGTGTTGTGGGTGGCTTCCATGGCGTTGTTCTGCAGATGCTAATCTGTTTAGCTTGTTGTTTTTGTTCAGCTGTTGCTAAAGTGTTGTGGGTGGTTGCTAGGGTGGTTAAGGTATTCTGAATGATGTTTAGCACATTGTTGCTGTTATATGGTTGCTAAGATGTGGCAAGTGAGTCCTAGGATGTTGCTATGTGGTTTGTTAGTGCCAAGGTGTTGTGAGTGGTTTCTTGTTGTTGTTACGTGGTTGCCAGGGTGTTGCTATGCAGTTGCTATAAGGTTATTAAGGTGTTCTGAGTGTCTTTTACACATTGTTTTTATGTGGCTGGTAGGGTGTTGCTATGCGGTTGGGAATGTGTTCTGAGAGTCTTTTTTACATGTTGTTGTAACGTGGTTGCTAGGGTGTTGCAGGTGGTTACCAGGGTGTTGCTATGCAGTTGCTAAAAGGTTATTAAGGTGTTCTGAGTGTCTTTTACACATTGTTTTTATGTGGTTGGTAGGGTGTTGCTATGCGGTTGGGAATGTGTTCTGAGAGTCTTTTTTACATGTTGTTGTTATGTTGTTGCTAGGGTGTTGCAAGTGGTTGCTATGCAGTTGCTATAAAGTTGTTAAGGTGTTCTGAGTGCCTTTTACACATTGTTTTTATGTGGTTGTCAGTGTGTTACTATGCTGTTGCTATAAGGTTGTTAAGGTATTCTGTGAGTTCTGAGAGGTTTTTTTTCCATGTTGTTACGTGGTTACTGGGGTGTTGCAGGTGATTGCCATGCTGGTGATATGCTGTTGCTAAGGTGTTCTGAGTGGGTTTTATTATGTTGTTGCTGTTATGCGATTGCTAAGGGGTTCTTAGATTTTTAATCTCTTCTTCTTTTTATCTGCTGATATATTCATTCACCAATGAACCCATTGCACTGGTTCTCACCCTTGAGTCTGCCCGCTGAGTTCTTGAGCTGTAGCGGTCCATCGTGAATTAACTTCTGCCCACGTAACAGATCCTCTCTGGCAAACATCTGCCCGCTTTTCATCCTCATGATGGACTTGCTGTCTGTCCGGCTGTACACTTCCTTTAGCCTCTTTTTCTTCTCATGCTCGTTTACTTTATTGTCCACGGCGGCAATCACCTCCTTCACCAACTTCAGACCTTGGGTTACATCTGCATGGTCTTCCTCATTTTCTGTCATGAAATACTGCAGAATATTACCTGGAGCACCACAGATAAATTCAAGGGTACTGACATAGCCTGACTAGAATAGTAACTAGTTGTACCTTTCGTGTGCTGCAGTATTCTCTGTAGTAAGACGGGATACTTTGTTATTCGTTGTGTGACTAACAATATACACTCAGGAATGCTTAGCCGTCGGACAACAGAGCTGCTCATCTTTTTCTGGAAAACAGAAACAGATGTGAAACATGGGACTGTTTCCATTTTAGAGTCTTGAGCAGGAAACAAAACGAGGAAAAGAATAAACACTTTAGGCTTCTTTTACAAACTAACTGTTTTTACTGTGTGAAATTTGTGAAGGTAAAATCATTTGAGATGGCTACCTTGATGAAAGCTTGAAAACGTTTGTCTTTGGTTTGAAGCTCCTTGTAGAAGTTCACAGCTTCATTGTGTCTGCTGCAGAACTTCCCATAGACCTTCTTCATTCTCTCGGCACTGGAACCTGAGAACTAGGGAGGAATAAATAGTGGAACAATTGTATGTTACTTAAATGCATTACTAGCATTATGCTTACTATAAATGCTCCAGACATTACAAATCAATGCATTTCTACAGATCCAGAGGCATTTTGTCAATGTTCCATCACAAGTTTGAGCCTGAACGTACCTGAGAGACCAGCACATCACCAATCTTTCGGATGACAAAGCCACCTTCTTCCTGGCTCCCTGACTCTTTCTTCCTTTCGAGCAGCTGTGAGAAGAACTGTGTGTGCAAGTCCAGAACATCATCTAACATGGGGAACATCTTCTCTACAGTCTGAACCTCCAGTTGAACCTCTCTCAGTAGCCCTTTACTGTAAACATCAGCCATAATCTTCAAGGTCCTCACATGGTGCATTTCGGTCTGGATGAGTTCTAATAATGAGAGAAGGAACTTTAGCTTTATCACATGACCTTACAAAGTGTGTCAATGACCTCACTCAACAGTTTCAATACTTTTTCTCAGAAAGTTTGAAAATGAAAGCAAAAGTTTCTTTGGAGGGTCTAGTGTGACTCTTACCGTAAATGACATCTTGCCTCTTGATAACATCCTTTTTAAGCTGTTTCAAGAATTTCTTGTCCACCGTAAAGCTCCAAGAATCTGCTTCCAGCTCTTTGGCATCAGCTTCAAATTCTCCCATCAGCTGGCTATCCATCATCTCTGTACCTGCCGTCCACATAAACCAATAAGAATGATGCCGTTTTCTAGAATATACACTTATTTCTGTTTATATACAGTGAATGCCAATCAATTGTAAAGATCGGCTACATAACCTGTAGTAAGATTGTTGTAATGTTTTGGAAGAAGACTATTATGCTTAACAAGGCTGCATTTATTTGATAAAAATACAGTAAAAAATACTATTGCAATTTAAAATAGCCTTTTTTCCCAATTTGATTGAAACTGTGATGTATTCCTGTGATGGCAAAGTTGCAATGTTGAAAACAGTAATAATAATAATAATAATATATTTACAATTGCAAACAATTTAATAATTAAATTATAATGAATAGCCACACTGTAAATAATTAATACAATCTTCATAACATGTTTGGACTCAAGACAGGTGTGTATTTTGTTGGTAATGATTCAATTACGAGATGAAGAGACGTACCCTCATCGGTAAGAGATTCTGTGGACTCGCTGACTTTACTGGTCTTGTGAAGAGAGTCGGTCGACTGGGACAGAAACTTCAGAGTCTTTAGAGGAGGGTCTTCAATTTGTCTGAATGTGCAAAGAGCAGAAGATTTGTTATACACTCTATGTTTTAATGCCTTATTGATTATATAAAACAGTGACCTCAAAATCAAAATATCAAGTGCACAATTCTCATCTGTTTTAAAATGATGAATTAAATGCAACAGTAAAGAATCAACTAAAATCATGACAGAAACCTTGTCAAGACATTCAGTGGTGCAAAACTGTGATTGTTAGAGCAATTACAATATTAAATCTAAAGACATCTGTATGTTATCAGCTAGCATCGGCACTGACCCAGCGATGTTATTAATGGACATGCTCTTGGACAGCGGGTTGCTGTTGAAAGACATGATACTGCTGGGGCTTTTCCGAGGAGGGGCGAGAGTAGCGGGCTGATCATCGGTAACAGAGATGGTGGACCACGGACGTTCCCGTGCTGGGAGGGCTAAACATATTAACAAGTTTACATGGTCAGATTTTTGAAATAAAGCAGAAATACATAAAACATGAAGAAATACTTGATTCTATGAGGACTTTACTTTTACTTCTAAGCGTGACACCAGGCATCGAGGCAGAATCTGGAACAGTCTGCTGCTGTTTTTGCTGCTGAAAGAAATATTTGAATAGAGTCTTTAATCTTTATAGATCCATATTATGATATCAAAAGAAGAGTTCAATTGCAGCAAACAGGTTTGGAAAAGTAAATACTGACAGAATCTTCAATTTGGGGTAAACTTTCCTTTTACTCATATTACTCCTACAGTTCTGGTCATAAAACTGACAATAATTAGCAAAGAAACAAATGAAATGCGCAAAAGTACTGTTTATGACAGTCATATGAGAACCAGTATAAAAGACAGTGGATTACCTTCATTTTGACCTTGGCACAAACAGGAAGACTCTCTCTGCAGCCTTTGTGGACTTGTGCATTGCAATCTGAAAACAAACAAACAAACACAAACCGTACGGTCAGTAAAGAATGCACAGGCCTTTATCCATCAGTTTAGTGCGATATTCCACTTGTTCTCATCCAAAAGCAGATAGAATAAGCCTGAAGCTGGACAAAACAGCAGCAAACAGAATAGAAATCTGGAAGAAAAGTGGCACTGAACAAACACTGTCGTTTCCTGCTTCTCCGTTTGTGTAGGAGAGAGTGAGGTTAGCCTTTTCCTGCCTGACTCCACCTCTGCTACACAGCTGATGTTTGTCACAAATTTAACCACAAACACTTCGGTTTGAATCATTACTAGTCTTGAACATTTAAAGATTTCATGTATACGTGCCAAGTCAGTGTTTATACTTGTTTTCTCTATGAAAACAAGCTAAACTTGTGAATTTCAGAAGTTACATTGAACAAAAAAAAAGATAGGTTAAAATTCAGACACAATATATATAAGCATATGACATAAGTGATTGGTTATTTCAAATGTACAACCAATTTGATGTTATGTAGATTTGCTGGCAATATAATAACCAAAAACCTTAACTTTAATGCTAATTCAAAACATACCTGCACAGATGGTGCTTTTGCCTTTCTCTGTCAGTGTACTTTGCACCTCATGACCACAAAACTACAGCATAGTTAGACACACCCAAAAGAAAGCTTTATAAAAACAAAACCACACACAACAATCTCAGATCGTGTGCATGGTGGTATCAAGGGCTTAAACAACCTACATGTTTGAAGGCGTAGAGATTGTGAAAATTTCCCTGCAAGTTCACAACCTTCCCCACTCAACATACACTACCTATAGAAGACCAAACCTGCAGAAATGAATAGACAGACAGACAGACAGATAGATAGATAGATGTAACAATAGGAAAATAAATAAAGGAATAAATGATTTGATAAAACAAATATAATTCATTTGCAATCAAATTTAAGCCCGAATTTACTTTTTATAACCTTTTTTTCTTTCTTTATTATTTTCTGTATTTATTGTTATTCTTTTTAGCTTTTATTTACTTATTCTTTCATTTATGTTTTTACATTATTCTTATATTTAATTAATTAATTAATTTATTTATGCATTCATTTTTTACTTTATATTTATTTATTCCCACGTGTATTTATTTCCAGATTTATTTCTTTTTACTTTCCTGTGTGATCCTTGAGGAGCTCCGGTGAATCAATGGTTGAGAGCTCATATTTTCACCGATTCACATTATGTCGAATTATTTTATAGCGACTGAATTCTGCTACTTATCCTCACTATTTTGTCATTAATCCAGAAACCATCAACATCGCCGATGAGTTTCTAGGTTGATGACGCCTCTAGACACACCCAGTGAAGGTTTCTAAGGCTTGTGTTTATTTTGTAATCACAGAGAAAATCTTGACTTCCAAAAGCATTGCAAGCCTAAGTTTATCGTAAACCAATTGCACCAAAGGTCTCTACGGTCTACTCAGGCTCACAATGCTTTTTGGAGACGTGGCACTGGACTGTTCTGTTCTTCATAGAAGCCATTGGTTGGTTGGGAAACAACCTCGATCATTTTACCTGTTGCAGAGTCAAGATTTTCTCTGTGATTACAAAATAAACTGGCATTAGTGTGGAAAGCTACCGCCCACTGGGTGTCATCAACCTAGAATCTGACAACGTTGGTGATGATTCTGGGATTGATGACAATGCTGTGTGAGGAAGGATCACACAAGTAGCTGGATTCAGCTTTGTGCTTCTATTTCTGGAAAATTGTGGTCGCTATAAAATAATTTAACATCATAATGAGAATCGATAAAAATCGATCTGCCTCATCCCGTATAAACTCCCGTATAAATTTCTCTTGTTTAGTTAGAGCTGACTATTGACGCTTATAACCAATGATGCACTGGAGCTCTGCAAGGACCGCCCCCCTCATTTCCATATTGCACACGGAAAAGTAAAAAGAAATAAACTAATAAATAAATCTGGAAACAAATACATGTGGGAATAAATAAATATAAAAATAAATAAATGCATAAATATAACAATAAATGAAAGAATAAGTAAATCAAATTTAAAAAGAATACAAATAAATGTAAAAATAAACAGAAAATAAAAAATAAAGAAAAAAGGTAATAGAAATTAAGGAATAATACAAATGAATTGTATTTGTTTTATCAAATCATTTATTCCTTTATTTATTTCTTCTTATTATATTTATTTATTTATTTGTTTGTATATTTATTTTTAATTTCTGCAGGTTTGGTCCTTCATAACTACCATTCAAATCTTTGGGGTCAATAAGATTTTTATTTTAATTCATTTTATTTAATTTATTTTTTAATTCACACTTTTATTCTGCAAAAAATTATTTTTCATAAAATAAGCGCTGTTTCTCATGCATTCAGCATTCTTTGATGAATAGAAAGTTCAAATCAGCATATTAGAATGATTTCTGAAGGATCATGTGACACTGAAGACTGGAGTAAGGGTGCTGAAAATTCAGCTTTGACATCAAAGGAAAAAAGTACATTTTAAAACGCATTAAAATAGAAAACAGTTATTTTAAATCGTAATAATATTTTATGATATAGCTGTTTTTCCTGTATTTCTGATCAAATGAATGCAGCTAAAACAGTAGTGTATTTATTAGTGTAACAGAGTATTAAATTGTTAAATAATAATGATAACAACGTTATCACACAAGACGTGTGTGTGTGTCTCGAGCATCAGTCACTTTTGGGAAACGAGAGGAAACGGTGATGAGTCTGCCAGTACATCCTCTGAGAACAACAAGCAGAGAGAGCAATGGCGGTAGCGGTGCGCTGACAGGATGTTCCAGCGCACTGACTGCTCTCAGTGCAGCGCTGAGCCCTGCCAGCTGTGTGCGGGTGGAGCCACAGAGTGATGCAACACTGTGTAAGGCCTGACTGGGCAGATAGCCATGATTACTCCTTTATTTTTTTTCTTGCTTTCTTCAAAACTCTGCTCACTCGGAGACGCATATTAACCCAATTCTCCACACATATCGTGCACAACGGTGTTTCTCCAGAAACCTGCTCATGCGCGGCTTTAAATCACAAAAACTATCCTAGAAGCTGTCGCTGACTAGCTAATTAAAATAGCTTCTTTATTTCAAGAGACAATCTGTAGGCATTTTCTCTATGGAATAAAATTTATTTAACCAACTTCTTGTGAATCTCTTGCGAAGCAAGCTTCTGCAAAAAACACTTTTGCAGCAGTAAATTAAACTCTGTGCATGACTGCGCTGCAAATGAAAGCAAAGGAGGAAGTGGCAAAAAAAGACACCAGCCTATGGCAAAACAAAAGAAGCAAGCGGAATGACTGCACAGAATAGAACAGAGCAGTATTTTACAAACTTTTTGTTTTTGTGTATATTTAATTGAATAAATACACAACTGATACCAATCTAAATATATTTTAATTAAACAGAAGTACTGTATAAAGTTTGCCATTAATATCATAACAAATTACATGCAGAGAGGAGAAGAGTAAAGTATAAAGTTTGAAAAAGTTGTAGAATAGAAAGTATAGAACAGTAAAGAAGAGTAGAAGAGAGCAGAATATACAATAGAAAAGAATAGAAATAAAGAAAAGTAAAGATCATAAAAGAAAATAGATGAGTAGAATGTAGAGAGTAGAACTGAAAAGAGTGTCAAATAATACAATTTCAATAATTGTAGAATAGAGAGTAAAGCACAATAGAGTAGAGAATAGAGTATAGAATAGTAAAGAAGATTATAGAGAGTAGAATAGAGTTCTGTACTCTATGACAAGTAAAGTGCTCTTACTGGTGCAGAGGAAAGCATCTTTAGTGTTGATGGGTTTGTTGCACTGTTGGCAGGGGATTGTGGGTATTGTCATGATCGCAGTGAAGAGATGTCCATTTGAGGTTCTCCTCTCCTTGTCTTTGGCATCTCGCTCGCGCTCCTTATTCTTGTCTTTCTCCTTCTCCTGCAAAATACAAGCCAAAATGTGAATGAATGAATAAATCAGAGTATAGATGTGTGATGTACAGTGCTTTCTGAGCTGTGCATTAGACTCAGTTACAGCGAGGTCCTGGCCCAGATGGGAGATTAAATGGGAGCGGAGCACATCCATCATACAACTCACAGTGTCAGCAGAGCATTGCTGCATCCATCACTGGAGAAGCCTCATCAGCTGCAATAGAGAGTAAAGCACAATAGAGTAGAGAATAGAATATAGAATAGCAAAGAAGATTATAGAGAGTAGAATAGAGTTCTGTACTATAACAAGTAAAGTGCTCTTACTGGTGCAGAGGAAAGCATCTTTAGTGTTGATGGGTTTGTTGCACTGTTGGCAGGGGATTGTGGGTATTGTCATGATCGCAGTGAAGAGATGTCCATTTGAGGTTCTCCTCTCCTTGTCTTTGGCATCTCGCTCGCGCTCCTTATTCTTGTCTTTCTCCTTCTCCTGCAAAATACAAGCCAAAATGTGAATGAATGAATAAATCAGAGTATAGATGTGTGATGTACAGTGCTTTCTGAGCTGTGCATTAGACTCAGTTACAGCGAGGTCCTGGCCCAGATGGGAGATTAAATGGGAGCGGAGCACATCCATCATACAACTCACAGTGTCAGCAGAGCATTGCTGCATCCATCACTGGAGAAGCCTCATCAGCTGCACAATCGATACTTTCATTCATATTCATCATTCATTTTCAGCTGCAGAGATGAAACACACTTTCATACATTCTCAACATCTATCTATCCTCAATATCACATTTTCAACATCTGCATGTTCTCAACATCATCTCACCCTACTCATCTACATCCATCCATCCATCCTCTATATCACGTCACGTCACATCACATCATGTACACATTTATCTACCAACTTCCACCTATGTACCCATCCATCCAGCCTTCCATAACCTACCCATCTACCTATCCATCCATCTACTCATCCATCTACCCATCTTCCATCAATCTACCCATCTACCTAGCCCCTAACCCACCATTTACCGATCTATAAAAGTATCTCTACCCATCAATCCAACAAAGAATCCACTCAACTACCTATCAATCATCCAACCATCTACCCATCCATGAACCTTCCATCCATCAAATACACTCCAAATCCTTTTTCCTTGTTTCTTTGACACCTTACACGAAGTGTCAAAACCACAGCATGCTCACTCCATTACAGTGTGCTTGAGAAAAGATAGCTCTAGTGGAGCCAAATCGCAGATTGTGGCCATTTTCACAGACCACCCTGATTACAAAACCCTGGCTGATCTGCTCTAACTGTCACATACCAAGATTGTGACCACGTGCAAACCACAATAGTAAAACAACAACAACAACAACAACAAAAACATTGGCAGAATTCAACTAATAGGATTGTCTCATTAATTCTTAGTATCCAATACCTGCTAATAATAATTAAAATGTTGCTGCACATTTAATGAACTAGTATTCCAGTGATTATGGATGGGTGGCTTAATATCATATAACACCATGAAAAAATAATTTGGCTACAAATGGTTTAAGGAAGAGGGTCAAAATGCACTTCCCAAAGAGTTTAAACATGCCTAAAATATATAGAATGTACAGAAAATTCAAGAATTAAAAAAAAAACTATTTGAACAACACAAGTGATTCAAGTAATTCACGCAACTCTCAACTGGAGTGAAACAATGCTCTCGGGAAGCACAAAAAAACGTTAAAATAAGTTGCCAAGGCAATATATTAACACATCAAACCTCTAAAAATCATAATCACAATCACATCAGAACATCAAATAAATGTCTCTTTTCACTATACATGACAAAAAAATCTAACATCTTCTCTTTGGTATCACAGTCCTACCTCAACCAGACCACCAGTATTCTTGATCTTTAGTGACCGACCCTGCGGTAAAAACCTACGACAAAGCGTAGACATCTCAGATGCAAGGTAGCCAGTGAGCGCACTGGCCTGAAGGTACGGCAGATGAGGTTGAGAGTCTGTCTAAACAAACACATAAGTTCCCATGACGGAGAGCAGACGAGCCAGCCAGAGGAAGTGACTGCAGTTTCTTTCTGTCGTCTTTCACATCGGGGTTCAACTTAAAGATACAGCGCACTTCCTTTTACCATAGACCCTCCGTAGTATAAGAGGCAGCTTTTTGTTTGCATTCTGTCATTTAGCCAATTCAATATAGATCGACATTCTAATCGACACTGCAGTTAATTCAAACCCGGAGTGACCATGTTACATTAAACAATTAAGATGCATCCTGTCTTCATCTCTGGCCTAGTTACCAATATGACACTATTCCATACACAATGTTTTAAAAAAATAAAACGATGTGGCAAATTAAGGTGTGTGGGTTTCTTAGGTCAAATAATGTGTACAAATTCCTAAATAACCATATTTGAGGACATAAACCATATATGGGGGCCCAGCTGATTCATGTGGACATCAAAAAATTGTCAAGAAAGTTCTCTGAAATTGTGAAGTCATAGATTTTAACATGCATCTGTTTTCACAGAATTGCATGAGCTCTAAAGCTTTAGTGTGAGCGAGTGTATTTAACAGAGCCATAGAGAGACCACAGCTTGCTTCAACATCCTGTTGAACTTCCCTACCGCAAGCTCTTGTACGACAGACAGTGTGTGCACAGAGTTGCCTGCGCAAGAGCAAACCTTTTAACAACTTCAGATAGTGCAGGGGTTGCTGAGAGCTTTCACACCATCAGCAACCCTATCATCTACAGGGACCACAGGGAGAAAACCTCAGAAGTTAATTAGCAGGTGCATGCTGCTGCATCAAAGAACACCATTAGCTCAGCATTATATGTGGCAAAATAAAACGATAACATTTGTTTCCACTAAGAAGGTCTGAGATGCTTCAGATAGGCCCACATGAAGGCAATGTATTGGTTTTTGATCGGAATAATCTTAGTTCGACTACAGCTGAAACATACACACACACACACACAAACACACACACACACATATATATATATATATATATATATATATATATTTAAACATTAAATTATAAATATTAAATCATAATCTAAATTGTTTCATTATATACCAACCTTGCTCTTCTTGCTCATTTTGCTCTTGAGGTAACTGAATGTCCTGCTCACTTTCGTTCCTCCAACTTTGCCTTCACTGTCACTCCGCAATGGCCCCGGGTCCTCCTCTGATATACTGAACGAGACGAAAGATAAATGGGAAAATGTAAAACTGGTGCTGCATCCCAATTTGCAGACTATCCGTCCTAAATGGTATTCAAAATTAGACTTAGTGTCTCCCAATTTGTTGAAATGAGTGTCCCAAAGTTACCCGGATGGTTTACTATTTCCAGTGAAAATTCAAAGTGCAAATTCGTGCACACTCTAATGACCCATTGTGCGTTGGATGCGGTCTTGATTAGAATTACAAACACAAATAAAAAGTGTTACACAAATAAAAACTACAAACGGTATATATGCTAGACCAACAGTTAAGTAGAGAAAGGGGTTTGAGTGATTAATATTCAATATCTAACCTGATGAAAAAAATATTTATTTAATATTATCCACGTTCTATTTCATCTGCAATAACATTTTGAACTTTTATAAAGATACGTTTGGTCATTAACTTTTAAATGCATCATTATGGAAACACATGAGGTCGGTTCTCGGCACAAAAGACCCTCGACTGGCAGATCAGCGTGTTACTTCATTTCTCTCCAGGAAATTAACTGAAACTAAATGTGGATTATGTTAACTGTGACAAGATGATTGACAGGCCAGTTTAAACAGTGACAGGATGCATATCACACTAAGCGGTTGAAGTAGTATGTCCCAAAGCTTGCCTACTATTCTGCTACACACTCAAAAGTATGTAATTTTTCTTCACAAATAGAGTACGTACTTTTATGTGTATAGTAAAAGTAGGCAAATTGGGATGAAGCATAAAATCTGGACATTAACATGTTAACATGTAGCCAATTCAAACATGTGATGCAGGGGTCGTACCAGTTCTCTAAAGATCCTGATGTGCCTGTGAATGAGCACAGTCCTGAAACGAGAGAAAAACCATTGATTAAGTACTGTGGAGACAGGACTACGACTAACTAAATGACATAAACGAGACCAGAGAACAACAAATGGCATTATTATTCACTTTTCAGTGAGCCTCTGGAGTTTTGTACTTGTACAAAAAGGAAATTACACAAGACGTTTTATGGCATGAATAGACTCTAAGGCACAGCCCTGCACAGAACAAAAGCAATTCTTCAAGCAAAATGCCACATTTATACAAAACTCAAAAAAGCTTTAAAAAAAACAGGCATTGTAATGCAACCACAAAAGCTTAACTGTGAAAGATGAAATGATTGATAATGTTTTGCAAGAACTGGAGAAACATTTTTATTTTTTTGTTGTTGTTGTTGTTGTCTTGTATAGTAAATGACTATGCTGCGTCTGTACAATAGTTTTTTATGATACCTGTGACAGTTGAGTTCGGCTTAGATATATATTCAGTTAAAGAAAAAAAAGTGTAAAGAATTATATTAAATCAATAAAAATGCAACAAATTGTGAAACATTTTTCTTAGTTCCATTGTTGGTATAGTTACTGCCTTTAGCCTCTAGGGGCAGTATAATTTACTCTGTATAATAAACTGGAATAGGAGAAAGTATATTAACATTACATACACATATACATATATATATATATATATATATATATATATA